GTTATGGTTTTAGGGATGTCTATTGTAGTAAGTGATTCTATGGGTATAGAGCCCGGGCCCCACATGCCTCCTGTTAATGGGCCTGTGAGTATGATGTCGGGCCAAATCGAGGTGGAGTTTGCGATATGCTATTGTTGCGGGCTTACTGAGGAGTGCACCCTAACATACACACAAACAATCCGAGAAAGGTAATTATTTGTTTGAGAATTGGAGGCATTTGATTGCCATTCTGGATTTCTGGTGCTGTCTTAAAACATATGTATGTTTCTTTCTCTGTTTTGGGTTTCGAATACGAGTCTAACTTTCAATTTAGGATACTAGTTCATAGGTTTTGTATAAAAATGTTTTTAGAATTTTTCCGTCTTTAACTTATAATTAACTTATAATTTAGGAGATCAATACAGACTTGAACCTGGCACATTGTACACATTGTATCAAACTGTTAACTACATAGACCCTTATATTTCTAGAAATGTCATGGATATGCAAAGATTGCAATTGCTTGGTGTGGCTTGTGTGATGATGGCATCGTAAGTTTGTTATTCGAAATGTTTTGTGTATTATCCATGTTGGAAACTACATATCTTTATCTGCAATAAAAATATCTTAGCTTACAAATAACCGCAAGTGTACATTTCATTTTTGTAAAATAACTACCCATGAAGTACTTGTTATAGTGCCTCTTAAGTTCATTTAGTTTATTGTATTTTTAAAGTTGTGATATAGAATGGTTTCTAAATTGACTCAAGTTAGTTTTAGTATATTGTTGTTCATACTTCCTTTTGCAATTTGTGTTTGAACTTTTACATATGAGTAGCTGGGCTGAGCAACTTCCTTTGCTTTAATGATTCTGCAGGTGTGTTTGGTAATTTGTTTTGAGCCTCAGGAATGTTCTCAAAATTTAGTATGCAAGGTAGTTGTTGAATATCAGTTTTCTTCATGCAAATTGGTATTGCTTATTTAAAAGTCTACTATCGCCAATTTTTGTTATTGTTGGCTACTTTTAACTACTTATTCAAGGATAAGAGACCAAATCTTTTATTTATCGAGGGTGTCTCGCAATTTTATTGCTATTGTTGGTTACTTTTAACTACTTATTAAGGCTAAGAGACCAATTTTTTATCTATCAAATCAAAGATGTAAAGGATATGTTTTGCACCACAATATAGACTTGCTAATGATTGTATTGGAGTATTTATTACTTCGGTCATAAATTTTAAGGAAACAAGCTGATGTTAGGGTGCTGCACAAAACATTTATGTATATTTGAAGGCACAATTTTTTTCTTACATATATAATTTATTTCTCAGGGACACATATTAGAGAGGAACACCATTTATGGACAGGTAAGCATAAAGTTTAATTACCCATGTGCTTATTGTCTTTACAAAAATAATGTAGGTTTCAGATATTTTATTTTTTTGTTAACTGCACTTCAACATGGATTTCTGGTTTGGATTTTCATCTCCTATCATAAAATGTGATCATTATTTCTGAAAATGTGTGGCGTGATGAATTATCTTCATTTTTGCTTAAAGTGAATCCTAATCCATCTGTGCTTCTACATATGCCCCAGTCTCATTTTTCTTTATTTCTCGTACTTTAGTTTTCTTGTTTCTTTTCTCGACTACCTCGTAAGTTTCCTAGTTAACATTCTTATTGTGAGAGATTTCTTTGTGCCTACCAACAATAGGTAGCCGGCAACTGAACTCTGTAATGTGTTTTCATGCAAGTGTACGATGTTGTTATGTTGTGATGAGGATTAACCACCTCTTTCCCAGTCAAATTACGGCTCCGGTGTATTTTTCGTCTTGACTCCTCTACAAAATCACTTCTAGTCATTTACTAAGATATGGCTCCTCTACTTATTCTTTATACTTATTTCTTCATATAATAGTTCATTTCATTGCTTATAAGTTATGACGACACCTTATTTTGTGTATTTATAATTATTTGTAATGTATTTATAATTATTTGTAATGTATTTGGAAAATATGTATTGATTGTTTACGTTCTAATGAGATTTAATCTGTATGTAGAGCTACAATTTAGCTTTATATTTGTTTATTCTTCTAGGGCTTTTGAGCAAGTGTTAGTCTAATATTTTTTAATGCATAAAATTGTTGAATTTGCAGTCACTTAAGAAAGATTTGTTATATGATTATTATTTAAGAAAGATGGGTGTGAATAACAATGTTTGATAATGTTATGAGTATTTTTGATAATGTTTCTACTCAACAGATAAGGGAAAAAAAAAAAAGAGGAGAAGAAAGGAGCCCTGAGTGCCCTTTTGGTTTACAGGCGATCAGTATTCTTGCTGAATAACATTAACTTATAGATATAAGATTCTTATTTAATTCAAGTTAATGAGACTTTTGCAGGCTGGGCCGAATGACAGTCTAAAGGATGTCACTTTCATAACTAAAATTTTTAGTTGCTGCACAGGTATTTGCCGGTTCTTTAAACATTCCCCGAGCTCATTGCCAATACTTCAGTTTCCAATCTATGCAATTCCGTTGGGGACGTGGGTTCCGAAAATTGGGGAGGCCAATCGACAGCCACTGGCAATGTTGAGACCAAGTTCTTCACTTAGTCCACTCTAAATTTATTACATGAGAAAGTTTTATTATTGGATAGTATATTTTGTCTTGAAAATGATCCGTGTTCAAATTGTTGGCGGTTGAAGTGATTTTTGCTGCACAAGGCTATGTTTTTAATTTATAAGGAGAACTAGTTTCGTGTAACTGTAATCACTTTCTCTATTAGTGAAAGAGCTTGTTCTGTAGATTTGGTGGCTGTGGACATGATATGTCATATATATCGAACTCCGAGGGTTTTTCAACTATAGATTCTGTAGATTTTGCGAAACAATTTTATGCGAAAAAAAAAAAAATTATTTCAAATGCTTTGTTATATATGCATAATGTTTTACGAAGTATTTGACATAACTAATCCCAGGCCAACTCATTATCACATAAATGTTGTAATTTCCAGCACAAGTTAGTTCAATCCCAATTGTTGATGATAACGACTCCTTGTTGGATGTTTATTCTCGGAGGTTAGTAATATGCTGTTACATGTGCTACAATATTTTATGTTTAATGTTTGGTTTGTGCTGTTAATTTATAGGTTTGTTCTTTGCGACCCTGGGAAGCTTGTTCTTCACCGCGACTCGCGAGTTCCTCCGCGAGTCGTGACAGAGGTAAGTCTGTAAGCCTGAGGATTATGTTCTTCACCGCGAGTCGCGAGTTCCTCCTTGGGTCGCGATTGTTATATATATTTTTTTATTAAAACTAAAAATGGAACAATAGTGTGTGCTTGTGCCTAATGCATTCAAACAAAGCACAAATTGGCCTTCTCCGAGCCCAACGCACCCTATTGTTTAATATTTTGACGTAAGTGGTACGTGCAAATAACATGAGTTGCTTCGGGGTAAAAAACCTCCAAAGCCGACTTGATGCTTGGGTGACGATCATAAACAATGACTAAGTCTTCGGGACATGCCCAAAAGCATAAAGTTCATCTCAGTCTATCCATTTTTATAAACAATGTCATTAACTCTATTTAAAAAGTCTTCATAAAAAAATCTCCCCAAGCGCATAAAGTTCATCTCTGCCTGTCCATTTTTATGAACATTCTCATCCCAAAATTCGCTATGCACAATTCGAACTTTTTCACACATCTGTAAACCAAAGATGTAAACGTATTTAATGACAAACAATTTCAAATAATTATTTGAGAATTAAGTAATCAATGTTTATA